ACCGTTACTTAATCCCTCTTAAGTTTAAAACTGTTCGCACGATGATCCCAGATCTGACTGTGGTCTGTGCACATGAAAATCACGCGCATCTAAATGACCAAAATTCCTCTGAGAGGGGGAAAAGGGCCCTTTCATATCCTTTCCAATTATTTTAAAGGTATTTTTCATGAAACACCCTTGAGTTTAGTCCATTCTGAACAATAGGCCTCTAAATCTCTGAGTACCTTTGAAGGAGAGTACTAAATCAAATTTCCAGCAATCTTATCTGCCTAATAGAGAAAACCCACAAAGGTTGAAATCTAAGGTATAAACTTAGATATAGAATTCATTTCAAAGTGAAATGAGAAATGTCTAACAAGAATGGCGTAAAAAGATGAGAAGCTATCACCACGAAATGAGTACAATGATCATATTCAGACTCACATTTTTTGTACCACAGGAAATATACTCTTCAAGGTCAAACTCCAGGTAGTTTAAGTAAAAGCTAGGACTTTGATTTATTTGTCAATTGTCACAAAATTAAAATTTTGTTAGGGTTATTTCCTGTGATAGAGTGGAAGCATAGCACATAAATCTTTTGATAGAATGGTAAACAATCTATCTTCTTATTGTAATGATCCCAGAGAACCCTTAGGCAGGCATCCAAATTATACCACAATAACATGCAAGACTCCTGATTCTCAAATGGAAAAATGTAGGCTAAAAAATAAATAGTAAAAAAGGAACAAGTCAAGAACAAAAGTCAATGGATAATCTTGAGCTTTTACCGTTCACAGATGGAAAAGAAAAGTGGATATCAATATTGATCATATAATTCTATAATATACTAGTTAAAAATATAAATGGATACGCAAATTTATAAAAGCTGAAACCTAAAAGGTAAGAGGCAGTTTCCACAAACAAGTTTGAGGTGCAAAACATATATACATATCATGTCATAGTACTAAAAACATCATAAAGCAAGAATCCACAGTAATATTTCACCCCTTTTATCTATTGTAATGTTATTTTCCCTCTGCAGAGTGCAGATTAAACATAATCTGTTCTTAAGGCCTTACCAATTAGATGTTATACATTCATTGTCTATCAAGTGATAGATATTTTGTCCATCTTAAGACCCAAAAAAAGTAAAGTATTGAGCTCCTACAATGGCCAACGCAGAACATACACATGACGCATTTTAGGAATAACTTAACGTTCAGTGCCTTTATTAGGTGCTGACTATAGAATGAGAGACACCAAGATTAGATTTGCAGTGACCACAACTATATTACGCGAATCAGAAACGATTAAAAGGAAAATTATGTGAATTTTGTCGAAGTACTCACAATCCAAGAGGTCTGAGCAGAAACAGACAAGGAAAATCTGGCATTGGCAAAAGCTGGAGGTGCAAGGGTCAATCCATCCATTGGTTCAGTCTTTACTTGAATACTTTTTCCTTTAAAGCAACGATTAATCTCCTCTTTTACCCTTTTCAGTACTTGACCTACAGGACACAAAAGATGTAATACCGTAAAAATTTAAAATGCAATTTTTTAAAAAATAATACAACCTTTCTTACAGGAGATATAGAAATATCAGAATGCAACTTAAGTGGCAGATAAAATACCAGACTGGCAAGAATATCCTGTTGCCACATGAGGATGTTTGTGATGTTTCTCAAAACTCGCGTTCAGAGAAGCACTTCCAACATACTTAGCCGGAACATCATTTCCTACTCTAGAAATAACAACAGGAAGGATTCCTGCCAAAAATAATTTCAAGTTCCAGGTATCAAAGAGAGCTGAGGAACAAAGTACAAGTAATTTTGAGATGATTGTAGACATTTCTTGTTCGATGAGAACAGTTACCTTTTCTTTGAGGCTTCTTCCTGATCTTCTTAGAGTTTGACCTGCAGTTTCCATCTTTGGCTTTTGTAAGATCTATTACGGGTTTAGACATTGCTGCTTTCTCTTTTTCACAAACTCTATTTTCTTTTTCACTAGGTAACATATTATTTGGACCCAAAACACTAGCACCAGTTTCATTCATTATCTCCTCATCATAAATGTGGCACACACCATCCTCTTTGAGAAGAAATCTGCCGACAACTTCCTCAAAATTAATCAGGTTCTCTGTGCTATTTTGGGCACATTTTTGTTCTAAAGAATGAGATCTTAGAAAATCTTTATTCACCCTATCACATTCACTTGCACAAAGAGGAACAGAAGGACATGCAATGGCTCCGTGTTCATCATCTTCATCAATCGCATCATCTTCATCAATCGCATCATTCAGTGCCCTGGTATAGTTCGACTTCAAAGGAGCCCTCTCAAGTTTTGTTGGCACTGACTTCCTCTTTTCATGAATACTATGGCCAACCCGGTTGACTTCTTTTCCAGTCACACGACAAGAACTTTTTCCTTTCCTTACTTTATCCACTGAATCATGACTTTTAGCTTTGCATCTACGCTCTGAGACATCAGAAATCTTCCGCTTTTTATGAACATGAATTTCACGATGAAACTCAGTCATCTCTCTTTTACTTTTGGTGCTACTTTCTTTGCTATCCGCATCAAGTTTTTCCGGCACCAATTTCTTATTTTCATGAATGTTGTGGCTCACCTGATTGATTTCTTCTCCAATCATACGATGAGAACTCTTTTCTTTTTGTACTTTATGCAATGCATCGCATTTTGCAACCTTGCGTCTGTACTTTGAAACATCAGAAGTCTTCCGGCTGTTGTAAACTTGAATCTCATGATGAACCTCTGTCATTTTCCTGTTACTTTTGGTACTATTTTCTTTGTTTTCCACATCAACGTTTTTCCTAATGCACGCATTTGTACCAAAGATCTCAACTTCAAACGTCGAGTGGCCTCTATACCTGAACACCAAAAGCTCCCCGAGTGTTACAGAATGATCCAACACAAAATCAGGCCACCCTTCCCGAAATGCCAAGCGACCATTTATCATCGAGAATTTAACTCTCCAAGACTGACCACTTGAATCTCGAAGAAATACAGTCTGCTTAACTAAGTCTCCAATGGTGCAAGCAAAAATCGGCGGAATAAACTGCATGATTGTTTAAAGTAAAAGTAAACTACAAGGTGATAGAGTCATATACAAAGTGTAATGAAATTAGTCATGGAGCACAACTAAGTCTAGAAGACTAAGGATAAAGATCAATATAGCAGCCAATTTGATATCAATATCCCTAGCCAAGTTTGTGTCTTTTTAAACTTTTTGTATTGATAAGCTACAAATTAAAAAAAAAAAAAAAATGGGGGCGGCGGGGGGTGAATTATTGTCAAACATACAGAGTTGGGTTTTCTTGATTTTAGACGAAACACACAAATGTAGCCCAAATTTCCCATGAATTTCTTAAAAAATTCCAAATCTCATCCCTTACCCAGCAAATAAATTTAAAGGGTATCTTACCAAATGATCCTTGAAGTCCACAATCATGATCTTGAAGAACGAAGATGGGTTCTCCTCCTCCTCATGAATCACTAAAGAATTCTTCAAATCACTTGTTTTTCTCTCCATTTTGATGGGCTCTCCCCTCTCCTCCGTTGCTCAAAACTCATACCTTTACTCTTTTGTTCCATTCAGTACTCTTCTTAGTTTTCTGTATTGGGTAAATTAAATTTCCTTCTTTTGGTCAATGTTTTGTCTTTCTAATTTTATGCTATTTTTGGGAATTTAACCTTTTTTTCTTCATCATTTGAAGTTTGGGTTGTGTTCGAAGGCAGTGGAGGAGGGTGCTTAGCCTTTTACTGGTTCCATGATGCATCCGATAGTCGTCAATGTCATTGAGTTACACAGTGTTATTGAGGCGCGCGTCCCGGGCGCGCCCCGGGCGCGAGGCGCTTCGGCCTGGGCGAAATGCGCCCTGCACGCGAGGCGGGGCGCTGCACGCAGCGAGGCGCGCGCCTCGCGTGCGCCTCGCATGCGCCTCGCGCGCGCCTCACGTGCGCCTCGCACCTGTGTTATGTAACATACTCTTTCTTCTATTTTTTTAAATAATTTACATAATTACATATTTATATCATGTAATATACTCTTTCTTACTAGTTGCTAATCTATTTTCATCTTTTCATGTTTAACCTATAAAAAGAAAACAATAATTAGTAATTTAGTATACTTGTTTGCTAATTGTAACTTCCTTCACTAATTAGCATGCTAATAGCAAATTATGAACATGTAAATATGTAATTATTACATTCATTCTTCATCTTTTCAAGCGAAGTAGCAAATATCAATTAAGAATACTAACTAAAAAAATTATAAACAGTCATGTTTGTTAATTATATTTCTTAGTCTTTTATGTGACAATTTATAAACATATGCTCATAATTGTTAATCACTTAATTTGATGATTTAAATACATGTTTCTTGTATCTTTTTTGTTACTTTAAAAATTCAGTTAGCATAATTGATGATTTAAGTTGATATTCTCATAATTTTGGATGTAGGTAACTAATATGTTGCTTATATGTTTCTGTCTTATGATGTTGGTAAATATTAATTTGAGTTATGCGCCTTAGTTAGTGAGGCGCGCGCCTTGTTGTGCGCCTTGCGCATGGTGCGCATAAGGGACCTTTGCGCCCCGCATTGCGCATTGCGCCTCGATAACACTGATTGAGTACGTGAGCAGTGAGCTTCTTTAATTTTTTTACTACTCCTAATTATACATTAAATATCAAACTACTCAGACCACCTTGTCAAAAATTATCAATCTACTAAATATACATTAACCATAAGAGTGTACTCATAATTATAAAATAAGAACCACCCAAACTGTTTCTTTGTCCACAAAATTTAGGAACATTCAGAAAGCATAAATATCAAACTCATTGTCAAATATGTTTGCATGCTTAGCTTGACTAGAATATTACACGGAGAGAACAAATTCACATCTCCTCTTTATGCAATGTCAAAATAAGACAACAATTGGAATTATTTCTTTTATGCCATGATCTTTTTACTCTTTACCATAATCTGAAGTCATACAAGAATTTAAGCATAATAACTGCATGATGCTCAAATTTTCCTTTTTTCACATAACAATTACGACACACTCTTAAACATTATCTTCTCTAGATTTATCTGCAGGTGCTACAAGAGGGGTACGTTCTTGTATAATCGTCCGACCAGTTCCTTCTTTCTTTGCGGGATAGAACACAAAGTGTTGGAATATAAAGATAAGATCGAAAAATATTACCTCCTGCAATATAAAAGTGAAAGATATTTATATTTCAAAGCAATAAAGTGTTGGAATATAAAGATAAGATCGAAGAATATTACCTCCTGCAATATAAAAGTGAAAGATATTTATATTTCAAAGCAATAATAGAAAAGGAGAGATCTATTTCCTCCTAATTAGGGGAAAGACATTTGCTAAATGGTTTAGTATCAAGGGCGGAATTGGGATTATAGATGCACCTGCTACAAAAATATAGCTGTTATAATTATGAGTTTGAATTTCAGAAGGCCAAGCTTACCTATATAAAGAAATGGAAAGGTATTTTTCTTTTCAAATCTTGAAATGAGACAGGATGTTGCTCTTCAAAAGTGGAAGTGAGAATTAAGTGAGGGCAATACCAAGTACTTGGGACAAATTTCATACCACATACATTAGCAGTTTCAACTTTCCTTTTCAACTTTTTTTACATAGTAGTCCCCCCCCCCCCTTTTTTTCTTTTTTTACATAGTAGTCCCCCCCCCCCTTTTTTTTTATCTTTCGATCAGCTTTCTTCACATAAAATAGCTTTTGCTTGTAGACAACACAACTACGTTTAGTGTATTGTTCCAAAATTATCCCTATTTAATTAGATAATATTTTTCTTTACCCAATCTGAGACTGGAAAATGAATCTGACTCTGAATCGAAGTTCTCAAGCATTGCTTTCGGATTTCTATAGTAACAGTTCACAAAGGACTCTTCCCTGTTCTCAATTCTTTCATATACTGCTTCATAACTACCCATATCATTTCTCCTTAGACCATATCATCGTGATCAAATGAAATGGCTAACACCAAAACATTTGCATGTATGTGATAACTTGGTTAGTATACGAACTAGATAGTCTGATTATAGTAGTAGTAAAATATATTAAATGACCAACAATATAAAGAAATTACAAATACAGTCATTTCAAGTAAATGGTAAGATTGCAAAAAAAAAAAAAAGTTTAGAAAAGTTTTCGTTGTATACCAAGGAAAGTAGAGTCTTTCCGATATTGCCATAGAAGTTCACCAATGTACCTGCAAGATAATAGGTTAGCTCAAGCAAATGATGTACTGTAAATGAAAATGATGAACTTAAATTTTGCATCATATCCAAGATGCATGCAAATATGCAACAAACCTTGGTCTATGGCCTGGACGCCCATTTGAGCAAAGTTCATCACTCCTCCCCCTAGATCAAGTATGATATTTCCAATGCTCCAGCCAATAGTGCTCTTTCGCTTAAAGTTCATAAAAGCCTACCGGAAAGGGAAAAGTAATGGGAAAAATTGAGCAAATCAAACGAAAGCCTCGTAGTAGAAAATCACAATAAACAACAATAAATGGTTAATCAACATTTGATATATATTACTCCATATTACCTTAATTGAATTGACTAATAACTTCCAACCAGCAGCATTTATTTGAAGCCCTATCTCTTAGTGGATTGTTTCTTCTTTTCTAAATGTTGTTTATTAGCTGCTAAAATTTCTAATGAGAGAAATGATTACTTGAGCAATAATTGTTCTATGACGACTTGAGCTATAATTGTTCTGATTGAACTTTAACATCCCTATAACAACCTAGACACGAACCAGAAAAGATTAATGAGTATTCTTCATGAATCACTCAAGAATCGAACTCTATGACAGGTTGAGAACGATGGTATCCTATTGGTTTGTTGAGAATCTTATTCTTATGTTATGGAGGCCTTGATGGTTTCTTAATCTCAACAAAATGATGAATTGTTAAGTCTAAGTAACCCTAAACCTCAACATTTTGATAATGTTTTTATCCTTATTCCTGAGCTAAGAAAATGATCGTTCTGACACATTTTTCACCATCAGTGTGAGCCTACGTTCTCATTTATTCTCATAACTTTGATCACGTTACATTCTCTAATAGCTGTTTTTGGCTTGCTGATAATCCAAATCTTATAAGCTTAAACCTGTTTGCCTTTGTACCTTGAAAATCACCCATCTCTAGTATCAATGAATATAACTTCATCAATTCATCATCAAATAATATGTCACTCGTATCAAATGCAATGACATGCTGCTGCGCCTGGGTGTGAAACAATGGTGACAGGAACAACTATGTGTTATTCCGATTTCTCACAATAGCCACTACTCTACCATACAAGGCCTCATTTACATAGTAATATGAGAGCCTTGTTTCTTTTCTAAACCAACCATTTAATTTCTCATAAGGGTCCTATCACAAGCATCTTCTAGATAGTTTTTTCCCCTCTAGCCGAAAGGAAGAACAGCCTTCAAACTTGAAATTCCTGTCATCACCTAACCTTTTACCATCACAATGGGGTCATCTCTGAAGCACAACACTATATAAATACTTCATTTGACACAACTTTGTGGCTAACTATCAACCAAACATCAGCTTTTTAATTTGAAGAAACTTTCAAAAAATTCTCATCAACTAAGAATGATTACATTTTACTCCAAGGCACCAAATAAACAAAAACAAAACTAACAAGTAACAAGAGAAGCTTCCCAGTACCACTTGATGGCGGTGTCATTATAAACAAACAAAACTAGAGGATTTCAGGAAATGTGACCTGTTTCTCAAGCTGTATTGTTCCAACTTCCAAAGACTAAAATGTGCATTACATCTATACTCAAAATACTTTTATGACAACATAGGAAGAGATCCTAAATCACGAGCTAACATGACTAAGCAGTGACTTCTGTATCAACTATCAATTGCCCTGTATGTAGGCAAGATTTTTTAATTATCTGTAAGTAATAAAGTAAACATGAAAACTCCACATAAAATTAAAGTTATAAACAATCAAATAAATAGGATAAAACATGTTGAATAGAACATGAAGGAATTTTACCTGAGGAATATACTTGATAGTAGTCATGATTACTTGTATTGTGCTGGAGAATCACATGCCATGAAGTGACACTATATCAGTTTATTAGAAAGGGTTTGTTATAACGTGAAGAGCTATAGGAATTGCAGTTGATATAAAACCTCCAAAATACACAACAAGAACACACCAACAATTATATTGCATTCCAATTAACTTTTGAGTTATACATTCAGAAAAGAAGGGGGAAGGAGGCTTACTTAAACACTGAGATAAGCCAGAGCCAAGACTGATTTGGCCAAGAGGTGATTATACAAACTAGAGCAGTAGCCCATACCACTGAAGAAATTGCAGTGCATGTCTTTGAAACCTTTTGAGTTCCACGCTACAATAAGAAAGTAAAAAAAAAGAGTTACCAAAACAGCAGATAATTTTAGAAGCCAAGAAGACCGACAGAAGATAAGGTCACTTACATCGTAGATCAGGACTTGAAACAGCCCAAAAAATGTTAATATAACAGCATGTATTGAGAAAGCAACATCATTTGCACCTACAGGAATCATCTGCAATAAAGATAAGAACAGTAATCCCTAGTTTGGTGGAAGGTATATTTAGGAATGATTTAAGAATTCGTAGCTATATATTAGCAGTTTAGAATTCATAGGTGGAAGATGATTTCAGAATGCATCAGCAATTCATAATTCTATAGTACAACACAAGAAAGGCTGTTCATAACAACAAACTTAAAGTAGCACTAACCTCATCAGATCCATACTTTTCTCGGTACTGCCTCTGAATAACAGGACTAAAGAATAGTGATGCATTGTATATAAGATAAGATGAATGTTTCGTCACATTCAGCACCAAGAAGTCAAAATTCAGCCCTACAACACTGCAAGCAGCAAGAAAGTGTATCAAAACAAAAGAATCAAGACATTGAGTAGAACAAAAAAAGAACATAATACGTTGAGTTATTTCAGAAATAAGAACATACATATATCTATTTCTCTATTTAGACGACTCAATTTTCCTGCCCTACACCAAAAGTTCCAAAGTTTCGACAAGAGTAAGAGACTATTATATACTACCAAATCCAAGCAGATTAACAGTGGGTTTGGATGTTTTTTCAGTTAACTTAAAAGTGTACCCTAGCTCTGAAACGGGATGTCTTTGATGTCATCTTAATGCCCCTTCGGACCGGGAAAAAAACCACAACAAGATGGCTGGAAAGATTTATATACTAACAACGATTGTTTCTTTTTCGCTCTTTGCTGGGTTAGACTATGCTCTTGAGCTTAATGCAATTTCATATCTCAAATCTATAATCTCTCCTTCCTCTAAACCTCAGTCAGACTAAAATTAAATGAGAAGGGATTTCTCTCAAGTTGCATAAGCTTAAAAACGCATGGCCAATCGGGTAAGAATGTTTCCATCCACCCACTAATCTTTTAGAATTTTCTCCAAGCTTTCACTGTGAGATCCATATCCTAATCAATATAAACTTGGTAAATTTCTTAATGGGTTCTTGCACATATAGAGTAAAGGATGAGATGATGAAGAAACGTTGCTTCAGAGCAAGAAATCTAAAATATCCTAATAAAATTCAATCAGTCAACATTAAGTGATACCCAAAATTACTAAAGACTAAGAGATGCCCATAAACAAATAGAACTTTAACCCCTTCATTTGAAGAGAAATAAGGTCAGAACAATGAAAACACAGAGAGCAGAAGATAAGCTCTACGCAAACCACTGATCAATCAGCTTACAATAACGTCTGTATAAAGGAAACCCAGATCCAAAATATTCTAAAAACGAAATAAATCCAATCAAAATCCAATCTTGTTGAGTACAGGGACAAAGTCAAAGGGATCCAAACCTTTTTCTCCTATAATTGAGGATAGCTTGAGGATAGAAGCTAAAGGACCACGAGAAGAAGGCAATCCATCCAAGTACTTGGTACAAAACCTCCATCGAAACCGAATTCCACGAACCCATTTATTTTATTTTTTTAATTTTTAATTTTTATTTTTATTTTTCCAGTAGCAGAGATTTGGGAGATTCAGCTTGAGTGGAGAAATGAGTGCAAAAAGCGCCAAGCATGTTAGTTTATGGGGTATTTGTCGTGTTAGACTCCCAAATCTTCATTAGTTGTAGACTTCATATCTTCATATTTTTAAATTAGACCCTTCCTTTTATAAAAAAGCATGAGCCCTAAATGTTATTGATAGAATAAATATACGTAAATATTTACATAGATGAGAGCATACCATGATGGAGAGACGAAAATAAATTAAAATTTTGTCAGGAATTTCTAGTTTAATGCAGCGTTACGTAATCAAGTTATAACTACACAAGTTGTGATGCGCTCTTCCTGATACAATCTATAGTCTGACTCTTTCTGTTGAAAAAAAAAATGGCCATTCGGTACCTTCAAAATGAGCCAACAAGTTACCATAACCGTACTATCCCATTTTATTTCTTTCGTTAATTAGACATAAATCTTACAACTTCTTTCGATCTTATTCTTTTTTTCTCTTCTTACAGGTTCTTTCTATCTTAATCTTTTTTCCTTTCTCTCTCAAGATCTCTCCCAGACTCTCTTAGTTTCTCTCTCAGTCAGTCAGGGTTATAATGGCAAGAATTTTCTTACTCTAGTAATGATTCTGTAAGGGAACCATTTGTAGGGGTTAGTTGAAACAACTTAAAAGAACAAGATTTTATTTAGTAATACCAAGATTTTGTGGTCTTAAATAGAATTAAAGAAGAGGTGGGGATCTTGTATGACAAAAGGTTAGTTTTATATTTAATATCCTCGAGTCTTGATTGGGGAGTTTTTAAGAGTACATGCCCTCCTACGTACTTACCTAAAATTTGCAAAAAAAAAAAAATTGCAACTAAACCCGCCAGAGGACAAAAAAGGTGACGGATGAATTTATGAGATGATAGAGAGGCTGGATTTTGGGATCAAAACATGATGAAGAAAGAATCCGGACGGGATAAGGGAAAGATTGGTGGCAGACATTAGACTTTGCCCTGTTTGGATGGAGGGTAGAGAGGGGGAGGGGAAGAGAAATGAGGCTTTCATATTGTTTGGGAGTTTTTTTAAGGAGGGTAGAGAGGAGGAAGGAAGGGGAAAGGAGGGTAAAATTGCTTGGTTTTCTTTTCCCCCGATTTGGGCGGTAGAGGAGGGTAAAGGAGGGTAAAGGGGTGTAATGACATTCTTACCCCCATTAAAACAAATAAAAAGGCTGATGTGTTATTAGTATAAAGTCATTTATGTAAATTTACATATATTTACTTCCTTTCACCTTCATTCACCTTACTCAACTCCCAAACAACATATTACAATTCTCTTCGCTTCCCTTCCCTTCCCTTCCCGTTGTTTACCTTTCCTTCCCTTCCCTTAGTAAACTCCCAAACACACCATTAGGGAAGACATGTTTTGGATCCTCTGCATAGATCGAGGCAGATGGGATAAAATAATATATACACCAAACACCCCCTAAAACAATTGGGATGTTGCTCTCATGGGTTGCCTTTAACGCCTATTTTTCTGTATTTTAAATAAAAGTTCTGTAGGATTGTTTGGATGTATCATTCTTGCTTTTGATATAATTTCATAAATGTCTTTGATATAATATTCATTTCTCATGGTCCCTGGCTTTACATCATAGAAGTTAGAATACAGAAGAAAAAGAAGAAGAAAAAGAAGAAGAAGAAGATCAACAAAGACAAATAATGTAAACAAGGACCACAAGAAGAAGGCAATCCATCCAAGTGCTTGGTATAAAACCTCCATCGAAATCGAATTCGACGAACCCATTTTTTCCTTTTTATTTTTTTTATTTTTTTCGAGTTGCAGAGATTCGGAGGAGTTTGAGATACAGTGGAAAAATGAGTGCAAAAAGCGCCAAGCATGCTAGTTTAAAGGGTATTTGTCATATTAGACTCCCAAATCTTCTTTAATTGTAGACAACATATCTTCATATTTTTAAATTAGACCCTTTCTTTTAGAAAAAACATGGGCCTAAATGTTATTGATAGAAAAAAGTTATGTAAATATTTACATAAATGAGAGTGTATGATGATGGAGTGATGAAAATAAATTAAAATTTTGCATATGAACTTATAATTTAATGCAGCGTCACGTAATCAAGTCATAACTACACAAGACGTGATGCGCCCTCCCTCATATTTTCTATAGTTTGCCTCTTTCGGTTCAAAATATGGTCATTTAGATCTTTCAAAGTGAGCCAACAAGTTACCATAATTGTATTATCATCTCGTTCATCTCTTTTGTTAATTAGACATAAATCTTACGAGTTCTTTCTATCTTAATATATTTTTTCTTTCTCATTCAAGATCTCTCTCAGCCTCTCCTTCAGTCAGGGTTATAATGGCAAGAATTTTCTTAATTGGGTAAAGATTTTGATAGGGAACCAACCATTTAGAGGTTAGTTGAAGCAACTAAAAGAACAAGGTTTAATTTAGTAATACCACGGTTTTGTGCTCTAATATAGAATTAAAAAAAGAGTTGGGGGTCTTATATGACAGAAGAAACCTTGTTTAATATTTAATATCCTTGATTGATTCTTGATTGGAGAGGTTTTACGAATATAAGCCCTCCAACTTATCTAATTTTGCAGAAAGATTGCAACTGAAACCGCTTGATCAGGACAAGAAAGGTGACGAATGAATTTAGGAGATAATATTGTCAACATCACCGTCTGACTACTTGAAGTATAGGAGATAATATTGTCAACATCCCTAGATTCTTAATTCGAATCCCATCGTCTGAAAATGACCTAAATTGTGGAAATAGAAGGCAGGACACCCTTTTGTGAAGGTTTCCTTTGAATGAAATTTACATATATTTATACAAATTTATAAATACCGAATAACCATTTATTTTAATGTAAATGGTTGCATGCCTTTAAACACCGAATACCCATTTTTTTATGGTCTCTGATCTTACACCTTAGAGGTCAAAATACCGAAATAAACAACAAGATCGACAAACACAGATACCAGATCGTAAATAATATTAATTACATATTATACAGAAAAGTACAAATTTACATATATTTATACAAATTTATAGGTTAACATAACTCGGAGATGTACAAGAATTTAAGCAGGACAACTGCTTTCTTTTGTACATATATACATTGTATTTTGGTGTAATGACATTCTTACCCCCATTAAAACAAATAAAAAGGCTGATGTGTTATTAGTATAAAGTCATTTATGTAAATTTACATATATTTACTTCCTTTCACCTTCATTCACCTTACTCAACTCCCAAACAACATATTACAATTCTCTTCGCTTCCCTTCCCTTCCCTTCCCGTTGTTTACCTTTCATTCCCTTCCCTTAGTAAACTCCCAAACACACCATGAATGAAGACATGTTTTGGATCCTCTGCATAGATCGAGGCAGATGGGATAAAATAATATATACACCAAACACCCCCTAAAACAATTGGGATGTTGCTCTCATGGGTTGCCTTTAACGCCTATTTTTCTGTATTTTAAATAAAAGTTCTGTAGGATTGTTTGGATGTATCATTCTTGCTTTTGATATAATTTCATAAATGTCTTTGATATAATATTCATTTCTCATGGTCCCTGGCTTTACATCATAGAAGTTAGAATACAGAAGAAAAAGAAGAAGAAAAAGAAGAAGAAGAAGATCAACAAAGACAAATAATGTAAACAAGGACCACAAGAAGAAGGCAATCCATCCAAGTGCTTGGTATAAAACCTCCATCGAAATCGAATTCGACGAACCCATTTTTTCCTTTTTATTTTTTTTATTTTTTTCGAGTTGCAGAGATTCGGAGGAGTTTGAGATACAGTGGAAAAATGAGTGCAAAAAGCGCCAAGCATGCTAGTTTAAAGGGTATTTGTCATATTAGACTCCCAAATCTTCTTTAATTGTAGACAACATATCTTCATATTTTTAAATTAGACCCTTTCTTTTAGAAAAAACATGGGCCTAAATGTTATTGATAGAAAAAAGTTATGTAAATATTTACATAAATGAGAGTGTATGATGATGGAGTGATGAAAATAAATTAAAATTTTGCATATGAACTTATAATTTAATGCAGCGTCACGTAATCAAGTCATAACTACACAAGACGTGATGCGCCCTCCCTCATATTTTCTATAGTTTGCCTCTTTCGGTTCAAAATATGGTCATTTAGATCTTTCAAAGTGAGCCAACAAGTTACCATAATTGTATTATCATCTCGTTCATCTCTTTTGTTAATTAGACATAAATCTTACGAGTTCTTTCTATCTTAATATATTTTTTCTTTCTCATTCAAGATCTCTCTCAGCCTCTCCTTCAGTCAGGGTTATAATGGCAAGAATTTTCTTAATTGGGTAAAGATTTTGATAGGGAACCAACCATTTAGAGGTTAGTTGAAGCAACTAAAAGAACAAGGTTTAATTTAGTAATACCACGGTTTTGTGCTCTAATATAGAATTAAAAAAAGAGTTGGGGGTCTTATATGACAGAAGAAACCTTGTTTAATATTTAATATCCTTGATTGATTCTTGATTGGAGAGGTTTTACGAATATAAGCCCTCCAACTTATCTAATTTTGCAGAAAGATTGCAACTGAAACCGCTTGATCAGGACAAGAAAGGTGACGAATGAATTTAGGAGATAATATTGTCAACATCACCGTCTGACTACTTGAAGTATAGGAGATAATATTGTCAACATCCCTAGATTCTTAATTCGAATCCCATCGTCTGAAAATGACCTAAATTGTGGAAATAGAAGGCAGGACACCCTTTTGTGAAGGTTTCCTTTGAATGAAATTTACATATATTTATACAAATTTATAAATACCGAATAACCATTTATTTTAATGTAAATGGTTGCATGCCTTTAAACACCGAATACCCATTTTTTTATGGTCTCTGATCTTACACCTTAGAGGTCAAAATACCGAAATAAACAACAAGATCGACAAACACAG